ACGGCGGAAACTCGAATTTTGACGGGTTTGAGCGGCCCGCCAGTTAGTTCTTAGTTATTTGTGGCGCTGGCAGCGCCATTAGTTCCTTCCCGCCCACACACTGAGACAGCCAGAACTTTATCTCTTGGTGATCCCGTGTTCAGACGCTCATTTCGCAGCCTTGATATGGCAAGTGTTGAGCCAATAGGTGGTGGGGTTCAACCTGGTGTGAATGGTATCCCTCCTAAGCGTCCTGAACCACCAAAGGCAAAAAGGGAGTACAGAGTTGGCAAGAAACTTTATCTGTGTTGTTTTTAGTTTTTATTTAACTTTATCTGTGTTATTTTCGTTGGTTTATTAGGATGTTGCTTTATTACAGGTAGTAATTCGCCCAAAAAGTAGGGTAAATAAGGCAAAATTTAGCCAAACATTGAAAGTACCAGACTCAAATTAATTTTCTCCACAGGAAGTTGTATTTAAATTTGGACGATTTTAATTTCGTGAGGTTTTTACAGTCTAAATAGGTGTCCAAATATGAGAGCCTACTGTAGTAAGTAACACATTAAATGGGTTCATTGAAATATGGTAAGGTAAGGATTAGTGCTTTTATGTTGATAAAAAGTGTCATTCACAACATCTCTAAATAACAAAGTAATATATATATGTACTACATGAGTTATAGAATAGTCAAGAGAGTTGTAATATTTTGTATTTTCTAAATAGGCAGTTGAAGTGCAGCACTATGTACAACTGTAGGTTAACAAAGCATTGCATGAATCACTTTGGTTGGTGCTCTATCATTATTTAATACATGTATCACCAACTGTGTTTTGGGAAATTGTCTAAAAATTCCAGATGTATAAACAATATATTTTGTTGTGTGAGTCACCATAGTGTTGGTCTTCTTAACTGTACAGCACCGTATATAGTACAGTATATATGTGCTGCCTTAAGCTACATGACAGAGCCTCCGATAACAACGGTTCAACTAACGAAGATTCGTATCTAAGACCCTGGTTAATTTAGGACCCAATTCAATTTACGCCATTATTTTCTTTGTATTTACGACGAAATTAAAAAAAATATCATTTTCGTATAGATAACTAAATCCCGATACATGTATTATAAAAAAAAAAACACACCTTGTGCACGGAGGCTGCCAGACTTGTGAGTGGTGACGCCAGCATCACTGGTATAAACAGTCACAGCTGGCAGGCCTTTTGTTTTCACGCATCTGAACAGGAAAAGGAGAACTTTCTCAGGTTTCTTACGGCATTTTTACATCCCTATTCAACATGAGCAAGAGCAAGTAATGGTAGTGTTGGTTCAAAAGCCGAGAAACTAGATGTGTTAAAACGATATGAAAAAAGGTGAGAGGTCTGTGGATATTATATGGAGCAAGCAATGAACATATTTTCTGAAGTGGATCCATTAACACAACGAAGCATTAAAATTAACAGTGATGTGAAAAACACAAATGACCTCTACATAAAGATGTATAATGAGAAAAGAAAGCAGCTGTGCAAGGTTCTTTGGACAGCTTTATTATTGGAAGGCCTAAACCATCAACTTCAGCATCATAAGCAGGTTCAACAACAACTTCAGGTTCAGTAACAGTTTCAGCAACAGCTTTATGGAAAGCTACAGCTCCAGCCAGAGTTGAACCTGATGACTTCGTCATCTGAGTAAAAACTCGCACAATATTCATTGGCTGTCCTTATGTTTTAGACTTTACCGCTATTGGTGAGTAGAATTTTTGTTTTACATTCGTAAATATTATTTAAAACATATATGAGCAGTAAATAAGTGTTGCTTTCATATTCATATGTAGAGAAATGACGATATGTTTTCACATGTACGCACTTACTGTTCATACTTAGGTGTTCCCAATCGTCTCACTTTATTTCTTTACCATTAGTGGTTAGCTACTTCCAGTGTTCCATTTATTAACATTAAATAACATTACTTAAAACATACATACAGGTATTCAATTTTTTTACATTAAGTTCACTATAGCTACAACCAGGGTCTTATTTTCTTCAATTTCTTATGTAGAACCATCGTCACTCACGAAAACAATGCCGTCTTGTCTTCTCGTGTGTGTTTTAATATTCTACATATTATTAATGAATTGTATTGTTCATTTCACATATATAAACATTAATTCAGTTAAATACATATTCAGTAATAAACAATAATGAATCTTTTGTACATATTCTTAAAAAGTTAATGACGCTGTGTTTCCATAAATGTGCACGTATATGTTGGTGTTCCCAATCCATCTCTTTTTTTTTCTTTACCATTAGTGGTTAGCTACTTCTATTGTTCCATTTATTAACATTAAATAATGTTACTTAAAACATATACCTACAGTATATTCATTTTTTTACATTAATTTTACTACAGCTACAAGCAGGGTCTTATTTTCGTCATTTTCTCGTGTAGAACCATCGTCCCGGACTCCCGGCTGTAAACACAAACGAAAACAATGGCGTCCCATCTCCTCTTGTGTGACCATATTATTATTCATTTATATTGTACAGTATAAGGTGCATTCAGAAACATTATTTAAAGAATATAGTTTGCAATTTTCATTAATTGTATTGTTTTGGGGGGAAAAGACGGTAAAAAGATATGAAAAGGTCACACTTGGGAACACATCTCATTATTATTGGTTTATTTTAATGGTAATTAATGATTCGCTATAAGACGATTCACCTCACACTGCAGTATTGGAGGACACATTACCGTCGTTATTCAAGGCTTTACTGTATCGTGTTGTCTAAGATTCTTTCTCACATATACAGACAATAGTTGACTGAAAGAAGGTACGTAATTTTAACTGGAGAAAAATTATTAAAAATGTTGGCTTAAATAGTCAACCATTATTTATCTTCATATTTTTTCACCATGAATTGTGGGTACAATACAGTACTCTCTCTCTCCAAAATGTATCTTTACAGACGGCTCCGATGAAATTCAAAATGAACACCACAACTCCCGTTGCACGGTAGGGTTGTCAACATACCTCGTCCGTTGTGTCATATTGCCCCACACAAAATTGTAAAGATACTTTTTGGAGCAAGTGTACATAGATTTATAGTCATTATTTGTTAATCACCCAGTGCTGTATATATACTGTACTTCAGCCCACCTAGCCAGGTGGCTCCTCTTAATTTAGCTTGTCTTGTTCAAGGCTGTAAGTGTAGGTTAGACTGGGTGCAAGAGGCTGGAGGTTTAATAGAGTTATATGTCTACTCAGTCATTGTACTCACCATGTTGACGCTATTGCTCTGCCATCTTTGTTAGCCAATCTTCCATTTTTAAATGTCAGTTCCCAGCTGAGTATCATGATGAGCTTGTTGTTCACATCACTCTATTACTAACAGGTGAATGTTGAGCTGCCTCCTCACACGTGGGGGACCGTTGGCAGAGACTGCCGTAGGTGTTATTACTCGATACTATTGTTGTCTTGTTTTTGTTCACATACATGTACAGTATAGTATAGTACAGTATAGTACAATATAGTACTGTATAGTACAGTATAGTATAGTATAGTGCAGTACATTATCATACTGTACTGTACAATACAGTATAGTACTATACAGTACAATACAGTACAGTACAGTACTATACAGTACAGCACTATACAGTACAGTACAGTACTATACAGTACAGCACTACAGTACAGTACTGTGCAGTACCATACTGTACTGTACAATACACTACAGTACAGTACAGTACCATACTGTACTGTACAATACAGTACAGTACTATACAGTACAGTACCATACTGTACAGTACAGTACAGTTCTATACAGTACAGTACAGTACTATACTGTACAGTACAGTACTATACTGTACAGTACAGTACTATACTGTACAGTACAGTACTATACAGTACAGTACCATACGGTACAGTACCATACTGTACAGTACTATACAGTATAGTACTATACTGTACAATACAGTACAGTACTATACAGTACAGTACCATACTGTACAATACAGTACAGTACAGAACTATACAGTACAGTGCAGTACTATACTGTACTGTACAGTACAGTACTATACTGTACAGTAAAGTACAGTACAGTACTATACTGTACAGTACAGTACAGTACAGTACAGTACAGTACTATACTGTACAGTACAGTACAGTACTATACTGTACAGTACAGTACAGTACAGTACTATACTGTACAGTACAGTACAGTACAGTACAGTACAGTACTATACTGTACAGTACAGTACAGTACAGTACAGTACAGTACAGTACAGTACAGTACAGTACAGTCAGTGGTGTCTGCTTGTGTTTGTTTAAGAGGACTGGACCTCAGCCTAATGTGAGCCACTCTCAACATGACTCAGCTTAGTGATGCACACTGGCCATGAGTCTGATGCTATTCAGGGATCAACAGGTCAACAACAGCTACTGTATTTTGGTATCTCATTTGTATATAAAATTCTCAGTTAACTTTTCCTTGGGGATACGGTAAGCTTGCATTTTTATTTTCATACTCGAATTCTTCAGGAGGTCTGCAGCTTAGCTCAGATAGTTTGAGTGTGAGTGAAGTACATTTTCAGTAAGTGATCCCATAGTGTAGCCAACAGTGTGTGGTACCTCCCTATGTAAGGGTATTATCTTCCTGCAGGATTATAATACATTAGGCAACTCCTTGCATTTTAACACCCTTAGGGACAAAGACTTTGCTTATGCACTCTATTTGAAATTAGAGTCACAGCATTAAACAAGGAAGTGACCTGTTAAACTTGGTGTGTTTACAGTGTGTTGATGAGTAGAAATATCGTGAGAGTTAGAGTAAGGTCTTCACTGTGTACTGACTGATTTTTGTTTGGTTTAGTTATAGTTTGTTGGTGTTGTGTATTTGGACTCAGGCTGGTGGTGGTAAAGGAGAGTTTTGTGACCTTACAGGAGTTTATCATGGGATAGTTGGCTGAGTTAATGCTGTATAGTTGTTATAATGCACTACAGTTTTCTTCCTTGTTTTTACATATTCTAAGTCTATGTTTATCTTGTTACTTTTCTTTGTTTCTGTTAGTTTTGGGATTTATGTATACTGTACAGTGGCCCCTCGGTTAACGAGCACAATCCGTTCCAGAAGGTTGCTCGTTAACCGAAACCATTGTTTCAATGGGTTTTGGGGTAATTGGTTCCAGCTCACCGAAAATTGCCTAAATTCAACAAAAAAGGTAGAAAAGTACACTTACTTTGTGGTGTGTATGTAGAAGGCTCCTGGATGATGATGATGATGGGAATTAGAATGGGGGTGGAGGAGAAGAGAAGGCATTGGGGTGGAAGAGAAGTCACCCCATGGCGCCATTTCCCCCATAAAATTTTAGTTCTCTTGGTGTAATTCAAGATTATTTTCTTTAAATCAACACTGCACTGCATTATATATTGTCAATATGTAAAATAAATTTCAAAATGACCAATAATTTGCTTGCAAACACAGAAAAAAAGCTTTTAGTTGAAGAGAGTCTCAAGCAAGATGTTACCTCCACTGAAAAGACACAGAGACTGACGCCTGTATGGTGTGTTGAGAGGCTGGATGGCGCGCATAAAACTAGTTTCATTACCTTCAATTATGTTCAATAATTGTTAAAATGACTAAAAAAATTAATAATAAACTTTTAAAATGAATAGTATAAACTTCTTGATATTTACTAAAATGGTAAGGAATTTAAGCCCTAGAACCGATTACTGTATTGGCAGACTAATACTACAGCTGGTGGACCGCCAAATGCAAGCGAAAACATGTTGAGGTCGGCTCGTAAGAAACTCGTTAATCGAGGGATTGCTCGTTAACCGAAGTTAAGAATCTTATGGAAGGTAACTCGTTAACCGAGGCGCTCGTTAACCGAGGGACCACTGTACTGTACTGTACTGTACTGTAAGACAATGTGGCCTGGTGGTTCTCTTGATCATAGCAGATCCCGGGATATTCCTTGACCACTGTTTAGTTACACTCTACAGTACTGTATATGTCTTGTATTTTAAAAAGACTTATAATGGATGTTGGATATCCCCCCCATCAACTTGGAGCAGGTGCACAGGTCCCCACAGAGAGCATAGAACAATTGTCATGTGTACCTTTTGGAGCTACAGTCAAACCTCTACTTAATGGACTACTACAGTATATAGAGATGACAATCCATTTTAACGAGGGTCTGTTAAATGTGAAACCTCCCTCTAACAGATTTACACGTTATATAGAGGTCATACTGTATGGTTGAGAGCCCCAGACTTCCTTCTGATATGAAACAGCAAACTCTTAAAGTGTAATACATTATAAGGGCCTTACTGTATGTCACACTAAGGTTCTGAAACACCAGCTTATCTACAACACTGTCTCTGGATAAGCAGGTTACTCATAGATCAGGACCATGAGTTTGCAGTTTACAAATACAGTTCAGTACAATGGCTGTTATTTTCCATCATATGACTTACTATTGTCTAATGAAAAAGATTAAAACCAGTGTCAAGTTTATTTGTTGTACAAGACACTAAGAGAGTGTGTTAGTTAAGACACAAGACCAGTATATGCCAAGGTCGTGTATTTTTTAAGTCTGGCTTGTGATGTATATACAGTACAGTACAGAGCACTACACTACACTACACTACACTATAGTATATGGTTGATGGAATTACACTATTTTCCTCCTTTTTGTTGTAGTCGTAAATGGTTGTTTTCTTTCCTTCATAAGCTCTCTGGCTTCTCTTCTGCCTCAGTTATGTCAACTTCATGTTTGGATTATTAAAGCAACTCAGTTTATCAAGCTTTTTGTGGTGTTTAGGTCAGTTTTAGGCTGGGTGATGGTTCAACTGGTTTTGTAGTGGGGAATTAATGGTTCACTTTCTGTTCCTTGTGAATTCTTTACTTTCTCATTGACCAGCTTGGGGTGTATCTGGCTGTGACGCCCGCCTTTTCCACTGATTATTGGGGCACCACACATTAATGGCTTCTTCTCTCCTTGAGGATCATACCACTGAATAAGTGTATTGGGTAGTGAGTGCCACCCTCCCTACCCAATATTTACATATATGGTGCTGTACTCTATCTATAAATGGATCAACTCTCATAGGTTCACTTCTGCTTATCCCTAGGAAGGAACATTTGTAGCGCCACCTTGGCCCTCTCATCTAGCTAAAGGGTGTATGCTACAAGTGAGGACTTGAAACTGAATTTTTAATTTATAGCAGAAGCCCAGAGCCAGGTTCATGATTACTCAGCAATGCATAAAACTTCAAAATGGCAGAATGATTGATGGAGAGATGGCGGAGCAACAGCCAAGGCACAGAGCAGTATAGGGTAGTCACAACTGTAGGTGACCTTCAGCTTCTTGGGGCAACCTTTACACTTAATTTTCCTTAGTTGATGCTGAGGAATATGACCTTAAAAAAGGTTAATGTATCAGACCTACTGCCAGGTACACAACAGTACTGTACTGTATGTGGTCATAACCTTGAAGAAGGCAAGCATAGTACAGTACTGTACTGTATGTGGTCATAACCTTGAAGAAGGCAAGCATAGTACATTACTGTACTGTATGTGGTCATAACCTTGAAGAAGGCAAGCATAGTACAGTACTGTACTGTATGTGGTCATAACCTTGAAGAAGGCAAGCATAGTACAGTACTGTACTGTATGTGGTCATAACCTTGAAGAAGGCAAGCATAGTACATTACTGTACTGTATGTGGTCATAACCTTGAAGAAGGCAAGCATAGTACAGTACTGTACTGTATGTGGTCATAACCTTGAAGAAGGCAAGCATAGTACAGTACTGTACTGTATGTGGTCATAACCTTGAAGAAGGCAAGCATAGTACATTACTGTACTGTAATGACAGTTGTCTGTGGCTATTGCTTCATAATAGCATTTCAGGGTTGATTCCTCCTCTAGTAGGTTGACAGTAAGAGCAGCATTATCATATGATACTTAATATTTTTTTCTTTCTTAGAAATCCAGAAGAAACAATTTGAGGAGTAGAAGTTAATCATGGTGAATGTGTTGTATACTTCTTTTACCTGCTGGTGATCTCTCAAGTAGTGAATATGAATCTTCCTAAGGAAATAGTTATTATAAGTTTTAATCTTGTGTAGGGAATCTTAGTATAAGACTACCGGTACTCTACTCTGCTGCCAGTCTTGTAAACAAAATAATTATTGATGCTATGTATGGATTAACTTTTTATTTCAAATAGACTGCTTATTGGATACTGTACTGTACATTCATATAGAAATACTTGATAAATGCTTCTGTATGTGCCATGTTAGCTATGTTGCAGTAGTACTGTACAATGTACTCGTACACCTTGGTTATCCTGCACTGGTAGAGTGAGATAACTGCTGCTGGTTTGGTGAACTGATCCTGGCCACTCTCCTACCTCAAAATCATGAGTCATTTCCGTTATGTTCCCTGTAATTTGAATTTACTGCTTTACTGGGGGAAGGAAGCCAGTGGCTCTGGTAACCCATCCAGGCATGAAAGTGGTCGTTCCTGATGCGTTTGTCTTTCAGTAGTTGTGGACTAGTGTTTGTACAGGAGAAAACTAGATTTGTGTTAGGATCAATGAGGTACGGTACAGTATATATAATACAGTTGTGCACAGTTATTAAGTAGAATTTCTTCGCCAAAGTGATAAACAGAATAACTGCCAACATTCAGTAAACAAATCAAGAGTAACCCATCTGTAACAGTACAGAAGACAAACTAAACTCTTATTACACTTTTTCCTCCTAAATAATATATTGTACAGCTACAACACAAAGCTGGATAACAGTTCAGTACACTACACTACAACAGTACAGTACAATATATTAATAAAGGGAAATGAAATATCTTCAAATAGTGTGAAATTCAGGTCCAATATATAAATTATTAATCTTTTTCAAAATGCACAAGCAATGCAGTTGCCTGCAGTCAGGTCTAAAACTTGCCTTTGAATCTCCAACCAGTTTTGTGTCATAGTGAAACCGCATGTCTCTTTATTCTGCACTGTATTAGTTTGTTATACACATTTAAAACAAATGTACACAAAATTATCTGAACTTGGAAAAAATTCATTAATGGAGGAATTGTGCTCAAATATCTTCCAAATTAGGTGATTTTTGGTGAAGAATTACTGTAGTTGTTAGTGATAACTCACAGCAGTACAGGTATCCCCCTCTTTATGACTATACACTCTAACGTTAATTACATTTTAACATCCTCTCGCTGTTTATGTTTTAGGCAAAATCCACGTTAACGGTAGTTAGTGTCGGGCTAAACTCGTGGCCGGTACAGTATTCACTTCTCCATCCTCCACGCAGTTCACCGAGCCGCACGCTGCCACCGTGGGAACTACGGTCCCGCGCTTTCCTTCAACGTGATCGCATCTGCCCTCGCTCGCGTAACAAACGTTATTGATATTAAGCGTTGCATATCCCGTGATTGCTGATATATTTTGCCGTTATTAGTCAGAATAAAACGTTATCATTCAGATTTTACTCTTGTTTTGGTGACTGTGAAGTGATCAGTGTACAGTAACTCTGTAACTTTAAAAATGGCTGGCAAGTGTCCTGCTGACTCTCCCGCCTCTGGTAAATGCTAGGCACCAGACTTATTATTAGTGTTTAATTTTGTTTTTTCCAGTATTCCTTTAATTAGTGTAGTATCATTTTTCTAGGATACATGTCTGCATCAGACAGGCCAGGAACATATCCCATTGAAACCTATGTTAATAAGATCCCAATTTTTATTAATTCGGTTTATGTTAAGAGTTTTCAGGAATGCAATCCTATCATAAATAAGGGAATACCTGTATGTGTATAAGTATCATGAAATATTAAAACAAACAAGTTTCACTACTTGTAAACATGACTCCATGAAGGGATCAGCAGGTCCACACACACACACACACACTCTTGTTATTGTTTATTACATTATTTGTGAATTTACTGGATCAAAATAGTTTTCTGTAAAAAGGTTAGTGTCACCTGGACCAATAATGCTCTTCATTCTTTCTGTAGTTCTAAAATATAATTTTTCTTCTGGATTTCTGAAACTTTGAGGTTTTTATGTAAATGAAACACTGCAGTGGAATATATATAAATGTACTGTACACAGATATAGCTTACTGTGTTGTGTGGCAGAAGACATGTATTAATAAGTGCAGTACAGTATTGGGTGATTGAGAAAGAAAGTTGTGGAAGCCAACAACTTAATGTTTGGTTGATAATGCAGTTTATAAACAGAGAGAAATACAGTACAATATTTTATCTGTTGGTTAGATTTGCTAAATTGTTAAATACTAATGGTGGGGTGGCTACTGCTTAATGATTGGGAGGTTTACTCTGAGAGTAGTAAGGTGCCATACTGCTTAATGATTGGGAGGTTTACTCTGAGAGTAGTAAGGTGCCATACTGCTTAATGATTGGGAGGTTTACTCTGAGAGTAGTAAGGTGCCATACTGCTTAATGATTGGGAGGTTTACCCTGAGAGTAGTAAGGTGCCATACTGCTTAATGATTGGGAGGTTTACCCTGAGAGTAGTAAGGTGCCATACTGCTTAATGATTGGGAGGTTTACTCTGAGAGGAATAAAAGCTGCCTATGTAATGTACAATACTGTACTGTATTGTGTCTGAAATGTATGATATTCGTTCAAAATTGTTACAGGTATTTTTAAGGTTCAGTACAGTACTCATTTATATGTGTAAAACTTAATGATAATTTTAACAGTCAGAGAAGGAAGTAATATTCCCCAAAACTTAACTATTTTTATTTTAAATAGTTAGCAATATGTCACAAGCGATAGCTTTAGTTTTACGTAAAAAAATATCTAGCTGTAATAAGTTGGAATTTTGCTTTACTACAAACTTTTCTTAATTTCACAAATGTTGGAGTAAGTTTTTCCTTTTGTATGTGTAGTACAGTGGGTGTGCTGTGCTGTGCTGTGTTATGTTGGTTTTCAGTTTCTTGATTATGAACAAATATGAACGACGCCGATTGTTTGAATTTAAACTTGTGGTGCACGAGTTTATTACGTGTATGTCTTCAGGTTTCGGGATACACTATAGCCTTGTGCCTACTGAACTGCACAACAATTAAAACACGTCATTTACTGTGTGCTGCCGGTGAGAATTAATAAAATCATATTCTGTATTATACATTTTGGTCTGTTTTGTGTCCATAAATTATTATCCTCTTCTATTATTTGGTTACTACTGTATATGAGACTCTTGTTTTATCCATTAGTTTGAAGTCTGCAGCACACCTACAAGTCCACTGTTTCACTTCAATACTCTTTTGTTTATGCTAAATATTATATTCATTATGTATTTTGATTTTGTAATACTGTACTGTTCTATTAATTCAGGATGTGGGCTACAGTCGTCACACACATACTCCACACGGTTCTGTAATGGAAAGTGTGAATGAGAAGAAAGTGTCTACATAATTAATTCTGTGATGTATTACCCACTGGTTGCTATTGCAGTCATGTCATGTGAGGTCTGTTCCAGTGTGATTATTGTAAAGAATGTCAGAACAAGAGGTGGGTACAGGTGCTCCTTCTAAGATGGCAAAATTATGTAGTCGGTGCTCCTGCAGAAGAACTAAGCCCCCTCTCCCATGACACACACAAACACAAACACACGTTCCTATGCTTTGATTTTACCGTGATTTTTTAAGGTATGACCAAAAGTAATAGATAAAAATAAGTTTCAAGTTAGGCGTGGGATCACATATTCATTTTGCCGGATATGAATTATTGCACCTTAAGTATTTATTCATCCTGCCACTTGAAGTCTCTCTTAGCATCATATTGTGGCATTAGTTCATAACAGTTTGTTAGTGTTCACAGTTGACCAATCCCATAAATGGTCATGCTAGCGGGCAGTTACTCGTGCCCTTGTTAATCACCGTGTGTAAATACTTGTGATTTAGCCCTACACTCATCTGCTCGGTGCAAGGGACTTTTAATATCTATTGTGCGAGAGAGTAAGTAGTAACTAGATCATTTTTGACATAGACAAATTTATTACAATATTGTAAGTCATGTATGTAAATATATCTGTAAATAAAACATTATACAAAAGTAGAAGATACTTATACATTGACCCATAAGTGTAGATATAATATTTGTATTATTTTATACTGGCTGGGGTACTCAGTGTTGCCTGGGTTTGTTTTTGGTGAAGGAAAGTTGGGTGCTGCCACCACTCCTATAGCCTGTGTCCTTCCTTGAGAAACAATAACCAGATAAAAACTATGGGTGTGCATACTGTACTGTACTGTACTGTACCATACCAGTAAACACATTGTTGAGAATTGTGAAGGTGATCACGGTCATTTATGAATTCTCAAGATATACAAGTGAGTTGAGTTCTGTACAATACCTATGTGCTGTACAATATTTAGTTATTCACCTAAATTTTATTGATTTATTCTCCTTCATTATTTATGCTCGTCCACATGCTCTTTACATCAATCACAAATGGCATTGACTCTTTATTCACATCCTTTTGGAGATGAAAATTACCCCAAATCGAGTAATACAGTACTGATTAACTTCACAATTTGGTGCATCATAACTTTAGGCTTTATCTCATGGTAATTCAATAACAATTAGTTACATGGCAACTGTTCATAGAGTGAGATCCTGAAAGAGAGACATCAGTTTTGTCCCAAAAGGTACGGTGCATCAGGCCTTTAATAATGTCATCTGACTGTCCATCTCACATTGTTCGCCAGTGTTTATGAGAGTTCTCTTGTACAAACATGTAACTGTCCTCTGTGTAAAATGTACAACACAGTAATGCCTTCTGTGCAGACCATCAATGACTCATTCGTCTCAAGTGTTTTTTATAAATGTTTATTTATTTATATTAGGTTGTACAGTGCACTGAGTGTATCATACAGTGAGGGGCCTCAAGGCAGAACCTTTCCCTTGTTACGCCGTCTCTTAATTTACTTTAATATCCAGGTTCTAGGCGTAACCAAACAAAAAAAAGTGAAGTAAATCAAAAGGGGATAAAAATAAATAAAGTAAACCTTTAAGAATTTAATTAAATTAAATATTAACACAATAAAGAGCCTCGTAGGCTGTCACAACAAATTGATTCACTATCGAAACTTTTTAAGACACAAATGATACTAAACATCGAAACGTCAGAAGAACTGCTTAAACATATAGAATAAAAATAAAGCACTGGATTACGTTAACACTGCATAAACATACAGTGGGGTATGCTATAACGAACATAATTGGTTCCAGAACCTCATTCGTTATAGCATTCGTTCGTTATAGGATTAATCCGTTCCAGGCCCCCAAATACAACCACTTAACACTGAAAAAATTCTGTGGAAAATGTAAAAAACACGGTACTTTATCTTACCTTAGTGTTGTTCAGCATGCAGGACAGGAGGCAGAGGGGGAGGGGGGAGGAGAGAATTATGGAGAAGAGGTGGAAGGAGAGGAGTCATCCTTCCTAGTCCTCTTTGGTGACTGTCTTACAGGCACTTTGTCTGGAGGTTCTTTTGTTACCTTTGTAAAGAAGGAATCCAGGGTTGGCTGCTTCAACCTTGATTTCTGGACCTTCCAAAAATAGTTCATAACATTGTCATTAAACACACTGATGGCCTTTTGCACAGAACCAACATCAGGATGATAATCCTCAGCAAGCTTGGACAGTTTGCTCCAGCAAAAGAAAGCATCCTTGAGATCTTTGGCTGGAATGATGCGGCTTTCCTCCTTGTCCTCCTCCTCCCCTGACTCCTCAGAAGTTAAGTTCTGCTTCAGTGTCTCATTTTCCTCTTTGTGAAGCTCAAGCAGCTCCTCAGTGGACAGTTTCTTACTGTGCTCTTCCGCCAACTCCTCAACATCATCATCATCATCATCATCCACTTCCAGGCCCATGGAATTGCCCAGACACAATTTCATGAACAACAGCCTCTTCTTCTAACTCTTTGAAGCCTTCAAAGTCTCTTTGAAGGACACATTCAGGCCACAATGGCCTCCAAGCAGCACAAAGACACCTCACAGTAACCTCTTTCCAGGCTGAGGTAATTAAAAATACAGCGTCTGCTATATTGAAGTGACTCTTCCAAAATTCCTTCAAGCTAACATCACTGGAAGAAGTGGACGCAAAACATTTTCTAAACAGTGCCTTTGTGTACAGCTTCTTAAAGTTAGAAATTACCTGTTGATCCATGGGCTGGATGAGAGGTGTTGTGTTGGGTGGCAAGAAGTGCACAGTGATGAAGTTGAACTCCTCTGGCAATTCAACCATCAAATTAGGATGGTGGGCTGGTGCATTGTCCATCACCAACAAAGCTTTCAGTGGAAGATTATTCTCCCTGAGGTATTCCCGAACACTGGGTCCAAACACCTCAATCACCCTCTCAGAGAATAAATTCCTGGTCACCCAAGCCTTTGGGTTTGACCGCCACATAACACCAAGGCGGGTCTTCCTAATTTTTTTGAAAGCTTTGGGGTTTTCTGCATGGTACACAAGGAGTGGCTTTATTTTGCAGTCACCAGAAGCATTAGCACAAAGAAGGAGGGTAAGCCTGTCTTTCATTGGCTTATGGCCAGGGACAGAAGTTTCCTCCCTTGTAATGTATGTACGGCGAGGCATTTTTTTCCAAAAAAGTCCAGTTTCATCACAGTTGAATACCTGCTGAGAAACAAAGCCTCCCTCTTTAATCACATTAAAAAAATGTCATGGTGTTCCTTAGCTGCTTCAATATCTGCACTAGCAGCATCACCATGTCTCACAACACTATGTATTTTATTTCTCCTTCTGAAACCAGTAAACCACCCCTTGGTACCCCTAAACACTGGCACATCACTATCACTTGCACTGGGAGTCTTGGCTTTAAGGTCCTCAAACAATTGTCCGGTCTTCTCACAAATTATAGCTTCACTAATGCTATCACCTGCCATTTCGTTCTCCTTTATCCACAACAAGAATAAATTTTCCATCTCCTCAATCACATTACACCTTGCTTTGCTAAGTCTAGAGATTCCCTTAGCCACTTGCACTGTTTTTAATTCCTCTTTATTCTTTAAAATCGTACATATACAGTTAACCCTCACTTTACGCGGTTAATGTAACCCGGAGGGTCCCGCGTAAAGTGAGAAACGCGTAAAGTGAATAACATATGTTACGAACCCCTCCACCCAGCACTACGAACCACGCCATCTATTGTCCTGATCTACCTACCCAGCACCACGAGCAACGCCATCTAGGGACGAGACACGAGTATGACTCGTCTTAGTTACCACTCCGAGGTTTCCCTTCTCCATATCCTGGTTGTTGCGTCACCTCCTCAAAGTCTTCTTTGTCGGCTCCAATTCGAGGAGAGAGACTTGGCTCTGGGAAGTGACCACAGGATCATCTATCCTCTAAACCTACGTGCAGTGACTACCTACCGTCTTCTACAATACTCAGCCTTACTCGTCAGCCATCTCAGCTCCTCACTTAAGTACTTGTATTTTGTATTAACTCCCCCACGTCCACTTGCTTCAAGATTGTTTATGTTGTATTAATATGTATATACTGTTAATGTTTAGGTTAAGTTTGGTTAAGGGTAATTTATAAGCTGAATATTTTGTTAAGGGATTTATGGTACTCTATTATATACAACGAAAACTCGCATCCTTTGTCTACCCTTTTATAGTCCGATTGTCTTTGTTTTTTTTTATTGTTGTTACCTGTTGGGATCTGGGTAGACGTATAACTATATTCTAAATCCCCAACTCGTAACACATAACATATGGGATTAATTGAAATGGAGTCCGGGCTGATCCCCAAACTCCACTTTTTGACGACACACAACTATGTTGTAGTAAAAATATTATCTTAACTTTATGATGGTATGCACACACAATTAATAATTAAGAGAAATATCAATAATATTAGGTTTTTTAACACTTACATTAGTAGAAAAAATGGCTGGGCACACGGGGATGGGCGGTTGGTTCCGAGGCAGAGGGCAGATTATTGGCCCTCACCTGTGTCACTTGTATCAATTGTATCACTATCCACCACAGAGGCTTGCAGGGCCTCTTTGTCAAACTCCCCAAAGTCCATATAAGTCCATATCCTCACCATAATTATCACTATCACTGACTTGGGCCGGCTGTGGTGGGTGGCGGGTGAAGAACTGGTAATGTTTTGATGACTGGGCGACCTTGTGCGCACCATGTTCGCGCAGCTTACACAACATGGCGGATGGCGGGAGGTTTGGATCCAAAAATGGCGTGGCTCGCCAGCCGCTCTCCGCGTAAAGGGGTACACGCACCGCGGAATGTGAGCATCCTGTGTTCTGGCAGGGCACCGCGTAAACGTGGACACGCGGAATGTGGGACCGCGTAAAGTGAGGGTTAACTGTAGTTGATTTAGCCATCCCATACTCATCACTAAGTTTCGCAATGCTTGTTCCATCCTCACGTTTCTTTATGATTTCTTTCTTAGTTTCAAGAGTTATGAGCTTTCTCACTCGCTTTGGACGATTCATTGTCACAATTGTACACTTGTATAACAAAATATTTATACAAATAACTCTATTTCCACATCAAGAGACGAAATTTCAACAATAACAGTGGTGCACTGGCTACACAATGAGACAAAGATGGCGCCTGACGCTCTTGTTGTGAGTCGCGGTACAACAATATTCATGTGCCAGGCGAAATAGTCCCGTTTTCATCCGTGTTCGTTGTAGGAGTTGCGTTCGTTATAGCATTCTCAATTTTTTAGGTAAAACTGTTCGTTATAGGAATATTCGTAGTAGGATCCGTTCGTTATAGCATACCCCACTGCATATAATAACTAACACTGAAATTAACTATAGTGAAACAACACTGAAATACTTAAATGTAACTAAGCAAACACTGATGGACACATAAGAGACATGAATAGGTACTCACATAGATATACCACATTGGTGGCGACAAGAACAACACAGAAATAAAATAAAGTATAAGTAACAGGTGACGGGTGTCACTCAAAAAAACGTGGACTGAATGACAGGAGGACTGGACTGAACTCCGTCTGCTGGTGGGGTACTATATATAAGGTCGGCTCCCGCCAGTGC